GTTCCATGACTCTGGTCGCGACCCAAATTGGTAGCGACCCGAATCAAATTTTCCCATAAGGTTCAATCTACTTACGGTTAATCCGTTCTGACCCCTCCGAATTTGGTCGCCAACCGATTTTGGTCGCGTCCCGAATCAAATTTTCCCATAAGGTTCAATGTAATTACGGTTAATCCGTTCTGAACCATATGTATTTTTTTTTTTAAACCACAAAAATATAAAACAAAATACAGTACAGTGCAGTACGAAGAGAGAGAACGCTAACCTTGCTTGAGGTGACTTCTGGCGTGGAGGACAGGAAGGCGGGTGGGGAGGCGGTTATTGCTTGGAGGGAGAGTCCCCCTCCCTACAGGAAGCCACGACCACGTGTCACGGGAGGGAAAATGGCCGCGGATCCTGTTCGTCACCCGATGCGGAGTTCGCGGACGGAAGCAAAATTTTGTGAACGGTGCTGTTCATGACCCGAAGTGGTCGTGAACAGAAGCATTCGTGACCTGAGGTACCACTGTACCTCTGTTCTGAATGTCCAAGTCCCCATTGCTTATATAATCCCCCTCTCCTTCCTCAAATAAACTCACCTCTGTAAAATATGGAGGGATATTTAGGACAAAAAGAGTTCGGTTTTGAGGCCTCTTAGGATCTCTGCCCTCTCTGACTTTGTGTTCTTTCACATAAAGATAATGAGGTGACTGGTGCTTCTCAGAAAACTTGACTGGAATAGCTAAAAAGGAACAGAAGCATTTTCTAGTCAAATAACTTCAGCAAAAAAACTAATATTGGTGAATATTTGATAGATAAAAAAATAATCATTGCAGGTGCTGTCACATGTGTGAGCCAATTATTTCAATAAATAGAATACTTTGCCCCTTTAAAAAAACTGTGCTACAGTTTCTCTGCAACATGTAGCAGCTCTGAACAGAGTCTAAAGCAGCTTTTCCCAATCTGATGCCCTTCAGATTATTGAATTAGAACCCTTATCATCTCCAGGAGGGGAGCAGCATCCCACAAGTTTATTTGCACTAACAGCTGTACACTGATGAATGACTAAATGCTTGAGGCCAAGCTAGTAGGTTTGTGAAGAAGGAAATGTTTTATTACTATGTTGATATGTGACTGGGCAAAGTAAGATAGGTGCAGGCTTACTTCTTTGGCTTTTCTTTTGTGCAATATTTTTCTTTTGTGCAATATTTATTTTTGCATTTAACCGTTTTCCCTTAAATTCTTTTAAGAGGTTTGTAATTTGCTTAAAGCATTAGACTGATTAAACAAAGCAAACATAAGAGACAGAGGCTGTCCCTTAAATAATACTACTATTTTCCTTGAGAAATATTCTCTTTAAGTTGATTGACTTTTGATTAGACTGGGGGCAAAACCTCCTGAAATAAAGGAAGCCTAGGCAGACTTTTCTCTCCACACAGAGAACATTAAAACTGAGAAATTAAAATGGATGTAAGTATGCATGTAAGATCTGTCCCCACTCTTACAGATGCATCTGCTGCATCTATCCACCTTACTCCTCATGGGCTATAGACAATTATAAACTCTTTTTTCTGAACTTTTAACAATAGACAAAGTTGTGGCTGGAGAGTAGGGCTTGCATGAGCCTCAATATCTCCTCTCCACTTTATTTCTACTTCTGTACAGGCAAATACTTAAACAGAACCACTACAAATTCATAAGAGAACTGCTTACTTGAGCAAACTTTTTTTTGTCAAGTAGGTCTCTTGCTTCACGAATTTGACAGTTACGTAATGAACAAAAACATGGCTCCCCATTGTACTGAATTTGCAGTTTACTGACATGGGAAAACCTTGTCTGAGAGTTCCACGTTTAAAATGGATAATCATGGTAATTATCCCCATAGATGGAAGAAAAAGGTCCTAGACTGAATCCTGATATTCAGCTTTCTATGTGCATAGTCTTTGTTTTGATAATTGGGATAGAGGGGTGGTTGTACTGTATGGATGAATTTCCAATTTTATTGAGTTTTGTTCAATAAACTCATTGGGGCAAACAATCCCAAGGTCTGGTCAGTGGTAAATTTCTTGCCTGCCAACCAACATCTTAAACAAGAACATATTCTTCAGAACAGGTTACGTGGCAATATCCTGTTGTTCAAGCTTGGATTCTGACTTGGTGAAGCAACTTGCCTTCCTTGCTGGATTTCCCCCAATCAACCCACTTGAGGGTGACGGAAGACTAGTTCCCTACCTTGTTTGTGGAGACTTCAGAGTGCATTTAAAATGCAAAATGCCCTATACTGGTTGGCCTGATAAGCTTAGGTATATCAGTACTCTGTGTTCTTGGTTTCTGCTGATGTCTAGATTCAGGATGCCTATGCAGTAAATCCATTTTTCTCTTCAAAGGCATTCTGAAAGCTCCACAATCATCAGGACAAAAGAGCATGCAGAGTGTACATGTACATCTAAACTCAGTGAGTTTGTGGGAGTTTTAAATAAACATGTTTCCATATTTAAGAAGTAGCACCAATACAATTGAAAAAATAGTATTTTAATAACAGAGGAAGGACAATTCACTGTAGAGTACTGTTCTGCAGGGTAGCTGACTCTGAATGTTGCCCAGTTTAACTGGATAAATGTGACAGGTGGGTTTACAATCCAATAAACACAGTTCACTTGTGACATCCCTATTGCAAATGGTGACAAACACTCCTGATAGCCCTGTAATCAGTTCATTTCTTAAGAAATATTGTGAGAATGTTGATATGTGGGAAAGCTGCCTGTTAGATGGTATAATTGCAGATTAAAATATGGGTGGCATTTGTTTATGGAAAAGCTGTGCAACTTGTTTACCATACATGTGAAAACTGCATCTGTGCATGACAATTGAAATAATACTGTTATTGTTTCCTTATACAAAGAAAAGGTAGCATGAGTGAATGCAAAAACTACAGAGGGATTCATATTTTAAGTATGCCTAGGAAGGTGTTCAACAAAATTCTGATCAAAAGGACATAAGGGAGCAATGAGCAAAAAAAAAAAAAAATGAGCAGAGAGACCTGAGTTCTCATCCTCCTTAGGCATTGGAAGCCAGATGAGTGACACTGGGCTAGTCATTCACCAGCAACCCTAGAAAGAAAGCAATGGCAAACCACTTCTGAAATGTTGCCAAGAAAACTGCAAGGATGTGTCTATGTAGTCAAGACTGATCTGAAGGCACAGTACATATGCTGCAGGTATATGCTGGGCAGATTTTTGCTCTTCACTGAGAAATGCATGAATGAGAAAGAAAATGTATTTCACTTTTGTTGATAAAGTAAAATGAATAGAATGGAATTATGGAAAGTTTTGCAGTTGGTTGCTGAATGTGCTAAGAGAATATACAAGGGAACTACATTGAACTTGTCCAATGTAGCTGCCAGAAGTCCAGACTAACACAAAGGCACATAATAAGAAAATATGTGTGAGAATAAATGGAATGCTTAGTGAATGGTTCAGCACTGAGCAAGGAGTAAGACAAAGATTTTTTATGTCCATTGGTTATTTAATGTATTTATGGATCAATGTATCAGGAACAATTATGAGGACATTAGAAGTTTATTAGCTGAAGACATGAATGTGTGTACTTCTATATATAGGAGTATATATAGGAATATATTCATATTGTTGGTTGAGAACCTGAATAATTTGCACTGAATATATATATGATATGAGGCAACAAATACACATTTGACCATTGATCAAAGATCACTGTGTTTTATGGGAAAAGGGAGTGAAAAATTGCAAGTTATAGGTAAATGGTGAAAAACTAAAGCAAGTAGATGAATTTGGGTACTTTGACAAAATGTTTACTAAAAGTGGGAAAACAGAGAAATGTTCAGACATTTACTGGAGAAAATTAGTAGATAATATGTGGTCTTTTGTCAGGAATGAATGTTTTTTGAAAGAAGTGAATATGGCTATGTATAAAAACATTTTTCTGCCCATTTTATTACAGGTAAGTCAGAGTTGGGTATGTCAGGAGAAATGTAAAGGTAGACTAAATGCAATGAGAATGGGATCCTAAGAAATATTTATAGTAAAACAAGAAGAGACAAAGTAAAAAATGTATGGGTACTGAATATCAATATAAAAGTGAGCGACTTATGTTAGAAAAGTATGTTGAAATGGTTTGATCATGAAGAGAAAATGAATGAAGACCTAATTGCAAAACAAATATATGAAGAAGCAATGGATGGATCAAGGGGAAGAGAAAAAACAAGAAAGTTGTGGTTGGATGGAATTGATGAGATCTTCAAAACAAGACAGACAAGCACATGAAGGACAAAAGAAGATGAGGGTTTGCAAGGTAGAAATTCATAGAGAGCAGCATCTGCAGCATCTTGTTGCTTTTGCACCACACCAGGCATTTGTGCAACAGTGCAATGCATGTGGAAAAGGGATGGGATTTGCATCACAATACTGCCCCACTGCTTTTGTCAGCCCGAACCTGTCTGCCCTCCTTGCAGATGCTGCTCTATGGAGAGGTATAGTGATTGGTCGTGTAAACTAGATTTAGTTATAATTCCTTTTTTATTTCGTATGTTTCATTTCAGTGGTTTACTATTTCTTATACCTTTTTTGCACTCTATATAACGTTGCTTACTGTGAAAGCAAATTCTATTGTGGGTATGTATGTATACACTATGTATGCATTTACTGAATACTCAGGTCAGAAGTGGAATCAAGATTTATTTAGATTCCCCGTCCAAAATCTAAGCCACTTTCCGGCAGAGTCAATTTATTTAATTAATCTCTCCATTACCCTCCTCCTGGGGAAAACCAGCTCCCAACCACATGCACAAGCGGAATACTATACTGACTCGTATGCAGGCTTTTTGCACTTGTACATAAATTATGTTTGCCACATTACTGAAAAAAACAAAAGGATGTATATAAGCCGACTGTCGCAGCGAGGGCGGAAGCCACTGAAACTGTCAGGCAACCGAGGGAGTAGCTCGCAGGAGTAACAGAGAGACTTCTTTCTCCTTCTCCCTGCCCCATTTTCTACTCACCTGTGTATCCCAGGGGAGCAACAGCTTCTCCATTTCTCACACACTTCACTCCGGAAGCCGCCATCTTGGTTCGGAGGGAAATTGCGTCATCCTTCGCAAATGATGGGTATCGCGAGGTTTCCTGCGACCGATCGCTTTCCCGGGGAAATCGAAGAGTGGTTTTGTTCCCGCGTTTTGCGTATCCGCGGGGCGGTGTTGTACTCGAAGATGCTTGTTACCCGGAACGAAGTCCCACAACCCCGAAGGGATTTTATGCCCGGGGAGCCAGGCGTAGGACTACACTAATAATATGCGTGTTCCTGCTGGGTTAGCCATACGCCGTCCGGTTGCCTTTTGCAGGAGAAGGTTTTAGGGCTATGATGAGATTAAGGCAAGAAACAGCTGAAGAAAGATGTTTTGCCAAGCTCGTTTGGAAAGGATGGCGCGCGCTGACACACGCTTCTTTTCAAAGCCTGTTTTCATATCCATGAAATCTTTGTAACCGGCGAGGAAAGGGAAGGCCCTGGAAATAGAGAAGCTTCGGAGACCAAAAACACGCGGGAAATTAGTTTCCACGGCTAATCTTGGAGCTGAAAACTAGTGTACTTTCTAGCGTTACATCGTTTTTAAAGCATCGTAGAAAGTCCTCCGTGTGTGTGAAGCTTCCATAGAGGATCCCTCGGTTTGATGGGATGAGTAAATCAGCATATGGAAGATTTTCCTTTCAAGATGAGGAAAATTTCTGATGACTGGCAGCGATACGGAAGCGGTTTGCTGTTGCCTTTTTCTAGGCTGTTTGACCCTTACCAGCGTACCCTAGAGTCCCAGGATTTCTGACGAAACTGAACCGTGATCAGTTTAAATCACGTTTGGCTAGGAGCTTCCATTTAACTGGGATAAAAGTGTGCCAGTGTCCCTCAGTTTAAGCACAGGATTTAAAGTCTACATAGGCAGAATGAATTGCTCCATTTTGTAATGGAAAATGTTAAATATCATATATTCTTATCTGATATAGTTATTTTAACCCATCAATTTTCTCCTGATTTCTCAAACAACTGCCATCAAAATCTTCCTGCATGTGAAAAGTAATGTCTAAGGGAGAAGGTTGATCTGAACATGTTTACTCTAAATTTGCAGAGTAATACAGTAACTTCCTCATCCACAGGAGAGTACTAAACATGCCCACTTCCATAAGCAGCCTTATGCTCTTATAAGTTGATTGTTGTTTAGACTAAAGAGAGGCACTCCCAAAATTGAATAAACATTACAGACTTAATATTTTGCATCTTTAAAAAAAGGAATGTAGAATATTCTCTGTATAACAAATATTTATTCAGAAACATGTTACATTGTGTCCTTGGGTTAACCTTCCCTGTAACCAACCCCACTGCTGCTAATGAAGGACAGATACAAGGAACAGCATTTCTGCAGAAAAATACCTGTTCGCTCAAAAGTACATTTCCCCAGTAGGAGAGAAGTGTGATTATTCCAAAATTAGTAATCCAGATTAGCATTCCATAGGGAACAATGCTTCATGTCCTGAAGTGATACAATTTAACTGGTATGTCCCTGTGAGATTAAACCAAGACGTGATACAGAATGAAGAGCAACTACTGAGCATCAGGCCTACAGTGGAAGAAGCTGTTACTAGAGAATTGTAGCAGACATGAAAATGTTTAAATCTTGCAGTTGAGAGAATAAAAAGTCAAGGAGTTATCCAGCACTATTTCACTGTGTTATCATGATGCTTTAAAAAAAACCAGGTTTTTCTTTTTTAAAATCTTTTAGCAAAAATGTGTACATCAAGTAAAATTGCACATGGACAAAAAATACATCTTTCTTACTTTTAGGTAACTTCTTTCACTGCCCACCTTTCTCTATTTTATGTCAAATAGTTAATATAAGGTGCTCTTACCACTTTTTAATAGAAATAGTGCTGCATGGCAGCAGAAGAATCTTATCCAGAGAGAAAGACTTAGGGATACAATTTATACAAATATGTAACTCCTTAAGAACAGAAAACAGGTGCTGTTTTCTATTGATATTTGACTCAATCAACTGTTAAGTGATCAGCTGTTTTGCAGGCTAGAGAAGATTGCATTGAATAAGCTTGTGGACAGCTGTTACAAATGTTCTGGAGCCAGCATTTCTCAGAAAAGTTTAAGTGTAGCAAAATATGGGTCTGACTTGAATTCTATTGAGATCAGGGCTGGCAGAATACAGACCTCTACTGGTAAAGCACCATGTAAAAACTAGCTTACAGTATCGGCTTGTTCTGCTTAACTGGGAGACACTGTCAATATTTTCCTCTGCAGTATACAACTTCATTGTAAGATATTGGAAAAAACATAATATAGATACTAGAAAATGAAGTTAAATATTTTACTGGCATTCAAACAAATCCATGGGAAAAGCACATCTATGTAATGTCCTGAAGTTCACAACGCCAGTACCCATTCCTCCATCAACGTATTAATAACATGAATACATGGCAATGAAAGTAATGTAGAATATGTTATATACTTGTACTTATACATATTCTCACTGTCTTCCTAATCTCTTCCATTAGTTGCTGCATGAACATTTCATTTGCTGTTTCTTTTTTACCAATTTTAGAATGGGAGACAGAGCTATTATCAAATTCCTGGGAGTACAGTATTATACCAAGTCTCTTCCACAGACACAGATATATTGAAATGAAATGTTGTTTATTATTAGTATAAAGCAAAAGGGACACTATTTCTTACTAAAAGAATGAAAGCCACAATAGATCCTTATCACACCCTTAACTAGGTGTACTTTAACTGGCTGGATACTGCAGTGGGGAAGCAGGTGAAATAAAGGAAGAGTTACATGGTGATACAGATCTCAGTGGAGGAAGGGGAAATTATTCCATTAGAAATATTGGGACAAAAATTCCAACTATGAAAACAACAAACACATTTAGGGGAACACTACTGTACAGGAAAGGTAGCAACTGTAGAAAAACAAAGGTTTGAGTGCAGTCCAACACAACAATTGTGTTCCCGCATGTCTCCCAATTTTCCACACTCAGTTTACTAGTTCACTTTTGACTGCTACTTTTCAAAGTTTGATTTTGAACTCTGTAGGCTGCACAGAAGCAGAAGTCCCCGAGGATTTGAAGAGCGCCTTCAAGATGGTGTCAGGATCCACTTCAGCTGCTGGATTTGAGGATGTTCCTGTGCTTGTTCGACGTGGTTCAGCTTCTTTCTTCACCGAAGGGGTGTCACTCAATCGACTGGGCAGAGTAACAAGAAATAAGATTATATTTAGCCTCCTGGAAGAATACAGACTCAAGCAATAGTATTTATTTTTTTATATACAAGAATAACGGAAAGGAAAAGGAAGAACAAAACTAGAAATATCAGGACCTCCAACACCTACTGATAATGAGGAATGAAATGGCTATCAATTATAATGCTGAACCGAAACAGCTCTTTACATTTTCAGGCTGATAACCTAAGAGAGGTTTAATTTATTTACATCTTACATTTATATTCTGCCTTTAAAGGTCTTTAATTTTATGAACGTAACATACTTACAGCAAGATAGGCTGGTCTGATGTGATGACATTTCCATTAATGAAAAGATTACATTTCATTGGCTGCCCTAGTGAGAAAAAAATAAACATGATAATGTCAAAAGATGCAATGCTTTATACCCAAATTACTGCTATTAGAGGTGTTGCTAAGGTGGACACAAATTCTGGAAAATCAAAGTCTGGAGGATGTTCAATGCAGTCTTTCACTTTTTCCTCACTTTGTATTCACTGCCAGAAGCATCATTTCCATGATTTTTCTTCTTTTAATAATAAAATGAGAAATCCTTCTTAATTTGAAAAATACCTAGTTTGCAAAAATCTGTGTTCTAAAATCCTGGCAAAATGGAAAACATCTTTATTGTTTGACTCTCTGTTTTCCTGAAAATGTTTAAAGTATTTTGGATCTATGGCAAAGCCAAAAAACAAACAAAAAAAACCCACACCCAGCTCAGCCTTCCATATGAGGCTTATACTTACCATCCAAGCATCTGTTGTTATATTTCTTATATGCAGTGATGGCATCTTCCTTTTTCACAAACACAACTTCAGCCATCCCAGGGTTCACTAGACGAGCTCGCTTTAGGGCACCACACACACAGAACAATTCCTGAGGAAAGAGTTGTCATTTTTGGAATAAAAAATATAGCATTGTCCCAGCTTTAAACAAGACAGGATGGTTAAAGCAATAGCAGCAAGATACTAGATTTAAATACTACCTAATGCATGTACCTCCTTTTAAGACAGTGAACAGGGATATTTAGTACTGAGATTGAGAACACACTGATCTGCACCATCACATTGGAAAAAACCCATTAAGAACATAACACTGCTTTGATACTCCCATGCCTTTATTCCATCTTTCTGTTTCCCACATTAGCAAGGCAAACATATTCAGGAAGTCAGGGCATGAAGCTCCCTGCTCTATTTGCCGCCAGTACATAATTAAATATATGGTCCATCTAAATATGGAGGGAGCACATAGTTGTATAACGTAATTTAGATACCTCTTCCAGTTTTTGTATTTATGAAGTCACATTTATTATCAGTAAATTAAATCCGTAGTAACAAAACATCTAGTATTGAAGAGTTGCCATGCTCCCAATTTTTATAGCAAAAAAGATATGTGAGGAAAGGTCTGATTATGAGTGAGGCCCTACACCATTGCCTATATGTTATATATGTTCCAGATTCCTTACAGTTTGAAAATATTATATACTTATATACTATGTCAAGCTTACAACAAACTGAAGAATTCCAGGCCCTTGTAGTTCAGTGTCACATACATAAGACTCTCCCTGGAACTGTTAAATTACTCCTGGTGTTTAAATTATTGTACATTTGAAGATATCTAAGGGATGAATGGGATCAACTTAAGTAGACTACTAGTTAGCTTTTGGTAAAATTTCCAGGTTCTCAAAAAAAGTATATATCTCTTATTACACTATTCACTAGGAACAATATGGATTCAGAAAACAGGCTAGTCTCAGACTTCAACATACAATACTCACAACAATATCCTCTTCTGTAACACGAGGGTGTAAATTATTCACAGTCATCTTAGTACCCTCTAAAGGACTAAAGGTTGGCTATCAGAAAAAAATAAGACAAATGTCAACTACAAATAAATAGAGGAAACATAACAGTGATGTAATACTACACACAAGCAAAATGGAAAAGTAAAACGTCTACAGTTGAATTTCTACAAGTTCAGAATATTCCTTCTAAACTCATATCCAACCACCATATAAGGCATATTTATTCAGCAAAAATTTATATCGGATTCTATTAGTGCTTCATGTTATATACAATTCTGGATTTTGGTTCAGCGGTATGTGTGTGTGTGAATGTGTTTACAATTTTTTTTCCAGGCAGAGAACCACACACAGTTATGAGTGGCATCGTGGAAGCCACCGTTTTAAAAGTATGGACCAAGACAAAAACTAACCATAATTTAATTTAATGTAATACAACCGAGTATAATTAATATATTTCTTTTCTAGTCCTTTTCCCATTTCTATCATATTCAGGAATTCTTTGGGAACAGTACCCTGGAGGTGCTTTGTTGGGTGTGGCCTCAAGTTGTGCATGTTTGTATTTGGGAAAAGGAAAGAATATTTGTTCATCTCATTTTACAGGACTAAAATTAATTTAAAAAGTACTACAATCCTGTGGCCAGCACACAAAGAATCCCTTCTGCATCTTCAACTCACCTCAACCACTGCAGGTTCTTTAGGAGGTTCCTCCTTGGTCACTAAGGTTCTAGACATGTTTGTGAGGGCCTTTGTTCGGATGGGGGAGGGTGGGACTGGGGGGGCTGTATATGCATCATTCTGGACTACTTTTGTAAGAGGGACTGTCTTTGAGAGAGAAAACTTGTTGCCACTGAGTCCGGCCTGCACAAATAAAAAATAAAATATTGGAAATGCCAGAAACAATTTCTTTTCTTCAAAAGACCAACAGCCAAATAGTACCACAAACCAAGATCTCTCATGTCAGACAATTTAACTGCAGGAGTAAACTCATGTGGGCTAGACAAGACTTGCAGCTGTTGAATTAAGCTAACCCACTAAAATATTTCCTTTGTTATTCATCTAACCAGGACCTGTCAGCTGGAGTTTCAGACTGTACTGAAAACTGAAGCATTTCATGTTTCTTTTTAAAAACAGATTATCACACTATCAAGCTTCAATCTTTCTACTGAAGTTTTCTTCACTAGAAATGTCATGCATCAGAGTAAGGTTGTTGAAATATGGTGCTTCCATCAGTAAATGTTTTATCAAATTTAGGATATATTTTTAAAAATCACATAGTTCTGCTATACTTTGCCCAGCCAGTTTGTGGCATAATGGCAATACTAAAATACTATTACAGACATTTCAAATAATTCTTCTAATATAATCATAGGATGGAGGATAGCAAAAGGTACAAACTGGCTGGGCAAAATATAGGAGTTAAAAGTAAACTATTTTTCAGAGGTAAACATATATTTGAAACAAGAAAATAAGCCAACAATCCTAATGAAGTATAGGCTAAAATGTTAAAATATATTCCTTTTTTATATTAAAAGCCAGGCAGGCAGTCCAAAGGACATTAATTAGCATAAGCCCTGTTTATTTACAGATTCTAAGTCTGTGGGCAGAGAATGACTTAGGCTGTTAGGGCAACAAAACATGTGGATCATTTGCGATAAACCAAATGGTATAGAGAACAATCAGCTCACAAATTACACTAAGAACATCATAATACCACAACAAAAATCAATAAGCATTCAATGTAGCAATCAAAATTGCTATTCACCGTTTTGATCCTAATAAGCTTCTTTTCAGAACGCTTCTTTTCAGAATGCTTCTCTCCATCCCTTCCTTTCTGAAAGAGCGTGGTACGTAATCACAGATGGGACCATGCTGCCTTTCCCTGCAGAAAAGGTACCCTGTAATACCCCTTCTGTGTCTCCTCAGACTGGGCACTTGTGAACCCATCGGGAGATTGGGGGTGCAAAGGAGCCTTAAGCCTTGAAAAAGCTTAAATCATCCACTTTATCCCTTAAAATCTATTCAGACTCCTTAGGATTAGGCCAATTATCCCATGGGGAGGATACAATAGATTATACTATTTAATAATACTAAGTAGTATAGTACTATATTATTACGATTGATAACATTTTCATTTTCTCAGGCTGTATGGTCAGAATGTATATAGCTGAATTAGAATAAGCCCAAGGGCAGCACAGCACATGGCAGAATTATTGATTTTTACAACACAAGATAGGTTCACACCTTGTATTAAGTATTACTGTGGTTTGGTTTGATTTTGGCTGGTTCATACAGCATATTAAGCCATAGCTGGCTGAACTATGGTTCACAAAAATCAACCACAAATGGCTGAGTTCACATAATACCCTGAACTATAAAATGATTTACAAATTAAATTAGCTCAGTTCATACAACATACTACAATGAAGCATATCAAATTACATTGTGGTGTAAACTGATTAACCCAATCTACACAAAAATTCAGCAGCAGAATGAATCAAACGGCCAGGTATAGCCAAACTGCAACGTGTATAAATGAAGTGTGGTTATGCACATTTACTTCTATGGGTAATGAAACGTCTGTAAGCAAATAACCAAGAACTCCACTTGTATTACAGATTTTGCTTTGGCCTGATGTTGTTGGACAAAGAGCTATACTGAAACCCTAGCCCTTTGACTACCTTGTCTTTCTTTTCACAGATGATGCTCTCTGCTCCAGGACTGTGTTATGAGCCCTATCAAAGAGCTGTATATGAAGAGCTATTGTTATACCTGATTGTATACTGTATCAGCCTATACAGCACATACACTTTTGAGCCTACCACTGTGATCAAAGGAATAAAAAATATTACCAATTGATAGCTTGAATGCTTGGGATTCTTGGGAAATATGTGCTCCTAATTCAGATTTTTTAAAAACACCACTGATTCTTCCAGTGATTTTTTTGAAACATAAGGTAAACAGATAATAGAATGTTTTGTAAAATTAACACTCTTCTGATTAATATACTGGTGTAGGCTTCCATGGCCAGTATCTGTTGGGCAGTGCTAGGCTTCAGGGCTGACACTGCCCAACTCTTCTGATTATTTAATTTATAAATATATAATGTTCAATGCAAAATCACTGAATTATGTAGTACTTGGATTTCATTCTAAAAATATATTTTGGAGTATGCATGTTGCACTTGTCTGCGACTCTTTAAAGTAGCTCCATCTTTCCCAACAATTGTTCTACAAAATAATCTTAAAAGAGTTGCTTTAACTTTAATGGATGGATTCTTTAAATTAACACCACTGAAGCCTGAAAAAGGTTGGGCTGCTTTAATGAATAACAGAGAGGTGCTATGCTTACATAAGGATCCAAGCAATTCTTTGGATTCATTTTCAAAGTGCTGCACAGCCCTATTATACAACCAAGCCAAAAGTTCACACATCATATTAAGGTACAACATGATTTGTTTGCATTTAAGATAGCATGCTTTGTGAACCCAGCCACTTGTGATTTAATAAAGGATGGTTAAATACACCATCACTGAGTATAATGGTCAAACCAGATGTTAGTATATTTTAATCAAGCAAAAGAAATATCTTGTTTTATTTCTTTCTAAAAATCTCAGCATACAATCTGGGAGCTAATTCATCCACTTAACTCTGCTTATTCTAACTCATGAAACTCTGGAAGCTTTGGAAGAAAACTTTCTTCTCCCCAGGGACTGTAAAGTAGCACTGAATTCTAAGGTGATATCACTCATCCAGAAAATATAGTTCTAATATGCTCAAAGCATTATCTACCCTCCCTCAATGCTCTTTATTACAAAATTCCAAAATTCTAAAGCTACAGCAGGAATCTTTCTGGATTACAGCATGCAATTCTGTTTGACAGATTCAGAGTTTAAAGTTATAAAAGCAGAAGTGGATGATGATAGAATGAGATGTTCTATTCCCTGGTAATATATTTTGATCTTTGAATTTGATTCTTTCTCCTGATGTGCTGTAGTTACTATTGCTGTTTAGTTGTTGTTCTTTTTTTAATTTAACCTTAATATGTAAGCCACCTAGAGTTACATCAGTGATTGAGGTGGCATACAAGTAGGTAGGGAGGTAGATATATAAGCAAGCAAGCAAAATGACTTAAGCACAGATCACTAATTTTGGTTGAAACCCACAGCCTATTTATCTGTCACAATAATCCCTTTAAGAGAAGTAACACTGCTGCAAGTAGGTTTTTTAAAGCTATAGCTTCTTTTACCCTGAACAGAATTAAGTGGCAGATGTTTAGCTAGATCAAGGATGGACACTGAGACTTCCTTTCATGGTTTTATTTAAGTTAGGATGGAGGATCTTTGGCATTATTTCATAAAATAAGGTTTTTAAGGTAAACAGTAAAAGCATTTTCAGTCTAGTTCAGCAAACAATGATGACTTCTTTCTGAGCCTTCAACCAATAGAGATAAAAGTGAAGCAATATTTTTCAGAGATCATTCTTTAACAGATCTGCAACATATATTCCATAAGATATTGTCTTATCAACAAGATGTTGGCTGGACTCACACATAATGCTAAGTTATAATATGGTTTATTTGTGGCTTTGTACAATGTATGACCCCCAACATAATGATAAATCATTGATAATATGCTTGGACCAGATCACTATTATTTGTTCAACAACCCATGGTTAAAATGACTTAGTGCATTAAGATTCAACATGACAATGATCAAACTTGGAAGGGAAATACCTCTTCCTCACAATAATGTGGTCTTTCAAGACAACAAAACAACAGAAATTATGCCCCAGAACTGTGGTGATGCTGATTTAATAGTAAGACACAAGATTAGATTACCAAAGACAACTTTCCACTTGCCTTTTTAACTATCCTTCATCAGAATGATAAATGATAGCGTTAGTTTGCAGTAGAATAGAATCTGGACAGATTTCAATTACTGGCTAGCTCAAAAGATGGAAAGACAAATTAATTGCACATTAATTCTATGAGGCTCTACATCTGCCAGATACAGGCAATTGTCACTCTGTCCTGGAATAGGTGCAAGAAGCAGTACAAATCTGAAAGAGACCACAAGGCTTGTAAAGCTGGAACCAGGATGTTAATCCAGTGTGAATAGAGAGAATATGCATATTTATCTGTATATGCCCACTATAGGTAGAAAGAAAAGAAGATTATAAAACCAGATCCTTACTGCATTCTGCAGGAAGCTATTTGTTGTAGTGATTTTCATCTGTTTATTAGGAAGGGGAGATACAGTTTCGTCGTCATCCTCTGTATCATATAGGCACTAAAATAGATAGAAAATAAGTTGGTGACTTATAATGGAAATAATTTTATATTTCTCATTGTGGCTGTGAAATGGGTATTTTAAAAAGAATTGGGCTGTGTTGAAGTAACAGCTAACCTCAACAAGTAAGCTGCTGTGGGCTTCAATTCTGCTATCATGGATATCACAATTCTGAAGAAATATGATTATTTTAATAGAAAAATATAAATATTTCCACGCATATATTGCATGCTTATTGAAATGCTTCAAAACTGTTCAATCAGGTAATTCCAAAAGCCATTTAGAAACCCAGGACAGCTTGGGAATACTTACAGTTAAATAGAAGATGCTCATGTATGCTATAATTCAAATTTTAAATAACAAACTGATTATTATATTAATTGGACTTTTACATTTATGATGCGTGATTTCTGGAATGAAGATTGATAATGGAAGAGGAGTGTGTATGAACAGGACTGGAATCACAGTACAGGAGGGGAATGTAACCTTTTCTTTCCTGGTCTGATTACAAGGAGCGATTCATATTTCATATATTGCTCTTTGCAGCTGATTTGAGTTTTCCACTCAATGAAAATAATGTTGAAGACTGAGCTAGTCCTTAGAATTTTTCACTTACTAGGATGTTATGCAACATGCTGCTCTACGTGGTACTCTAAATTTAGTGGCTTACATTTTCAAAAACAAGTACATTAAATGCAAAGGTATTTATTTACTGGGCGTCAAGTCTTTTCAAAACTGAGCATTATTTTGTAAAGTGATAGCAGATAAGCCAATGGCAATCAAAATAGCTATGTCAGTGTCTACCATTACAAGTAATCCTTGCTTAACAATCACAATAGGGACTGGAAAATTGGTTGTTAAGCAGGGCAGTAATTATGCAAGTCAGCACGTGACTGGACCCAATTTTATGATGGTTGTTAAGTGAATTACCTGGTTGTTAAGCGAATCCAGCTTCAGCTGGACGTTTTTGCAGGAATTCGCTTAACTACATGATTCGCTTAATGACCAGTGATTCGCTTAATGACTGTTGTAAAAAAGGTTGCAAATCGTGATCACGTGATGGGGGTATGCAATGGATTGCAATGGTTGTAAGTGCAAGTATAGGTCATAAAGCACTTTTCCAAAGTCATTGTAACTTTGAACCGTCATTAAACAAACAGTCATTAAGTGAGGGCTACCTGTATATCTCAGAAGATTATTTATTTATTATTTATCATATTTATATAGCCGCCCATCTCACATAAAGTGACTCTTGCCACTAGCATCATGATAGATGGGCAGGCAGAGTGAAGACTGATGGCAATATTTATTTATTTGATGGTACTTAAAACCATCCCCAATTTCAGGGTATTCTGGGCAGGAAATATTTCATAGCGTGGGGGCTACCATACAGAAGGCCTATCATCTCACCCATACTCCATCAATCTCATGAAGAGAAGAACCTTTCGCAGCCCTCTGGATGACTGGATTGGAACAGTAGATTTGGCTCTGGCAAGCCATTTCCTGATGCACCCTAATATTTGCCTAATATTGCAGAACTAAAGATAGTGCACAGCTGAGGAGTATAGAACTATATGGAAGAATCCCAAAGCGCTAAAATATACTTCAGTGATTTGTTATTTGTCAATATTGTATGCATGGTAGCAAAATGTATACAAATAGGTATGAACTGATAGTTACTTAAAGGCACGCACCTGTTTGTGTGTGTGATTATTCACAATGTTGACCTTCATACCTGCAGAATGAGTATGTGATGGAATTGCAGCCTTCTGCTGTTATTGTGATAAGAGAAGAGGAAAAAGATAAAATCAGCATCAGGATACATCAACTTCTGACTTAATTTAAGGAAAATTACAAAAATGTGAATTGTTATTCTTTAGTGCTTCTAGTAATAAACAGATCAATTACTTATTTACCCAATTTTTGAAGCCTTAAAGCTACATTATTCTACAATCTTTTCCAATAACTGTAATAAAAGGCTTTTTAATATGGTATAGAAATTAAGCACATAATATTGTACAGGTAGAAAAGGAAAGCAAAACTGCAGGAATTGTTTTCTGTCCCATAGTTGTGCTCTGCTTCCAAGGTTTTTGTAAAGATTCTCAGAGAAGCTTCATTGCTTTATAGAATCATTACCCCAAACTTTTTCTGACTTTTAGTCAGACATTTGGAATCAGCCTGGTTTTATTTGTGAGATCTGATGACAAAACCCGGGAAAGAACACTGTACTTTTTACTGAAAAGCAAGCTTTAACTCAATCATCTATCAATCAGACTATTCAAAACAACCACTTGCTTTTTAAAACAAATTCTACATTTAAGACTCAATACATTTACCATAATCAATCAACCTCTGTGGAGGAGGCTGTTCTAAGGGCTTCTTCCCTAGAATGGAACTAAAAAAGTAGAAGGAATTGTTGGGATTTGTTTGACTCTACATTTTTAAGTTGACAATTTCTGGATTATAACTGAACAAAGAAGGAAGAACTGGATAAGCTTGTTAATATGTTGCAGAATGCCCTAAGCGTGAAGTGCCTGGCATAGAGACAAAGTAGATTGGTAAACTTCTAGCATGAAACTGGAGAAGACTAAAGTGGCTGAGCTAGTTCCTTCATCTGCTAATGGCAGGTAAGGCGGCATATGCATACTGCTAAGAAGTTATGTCAAGGTATTTCCACAAGCATTTTATTTACTGATTGATTGATTGTTAAACTTGTATGCTGCCCATCTCCCCCAATGGGTGACTCTGGGCGGCTCACAATAACAATTTACAAACAATCACAATTTTGATACTTACATGTATATACCACCATTTCTGTGTGCACAATATACATTGTTTCTGTGGGTGAACTTAAAATTATAGGTAGTCCTTGGCTTACGACCACAACAAGGACTGGAAAATTCATTGTTAAGCAGTGTGGTCGCTAAGTGAGGCATCACGTGACCACACCCAATTTTACGACCTTTTTTGCCATGGTCATTAAGCGAATCACCAGTTAAGCAAGACATTACGTGACTTGCAACCTTCCATGCTGACTTCTCCACTTATTTTGCTTGTTGGAAGCTGTCTGGGAAAGTCGCAAATGGTGATCATGTGACTATAGGACATTGCAACCATCGTAAATGCGTGACAGTTGCCAAGTGCCCAAATCATGATCATGTGACCATGGGGACACTGCAATGGTAGTAAGTGTGAGGATTGTTGTAAGTCACTTTTTTCAGCACTATCGTAACTTCAAATGGTTGCTAAACAAATGGTCAAGTTAAGGGCTACTAGCATTGAACAATATAGCTTTGTAAACCAGATGGCAAGCTGATACATTTAATGAGTAATGCAATACTGATATTTTCAGAGTATCTTTCTGCTTCAAGAGATACAGTCTCTCTTCCCTTTTCTCTTTTATAGCACATTTAATGAAGTAAATGGAACCATCAGTGACATCTTATATCAAACTCATAAACATTGCCTCAGCGGGTAATAGCATCTAGCCAGTCTTGGCTGATCTTAGAAAGTTGTCAAAGGGGACAACCTGGGAATTGCAAAACTATTAACTAGATCTGAAAATAGACATGGGCCAGCTACTTCCATATACTGCCAAGAAAATTGCAAAGAGGTGATCACCAGGAGCCTAGCTCAACTCAAGGAATCTTTCAACTCAAGGAAACTTTCTTTAAAATAAAACACTGTTTTGTTTACTCAAGATACAACATAAATCAATGCTTTATATAACCTTTCATATAACCACAAGATTAAGCAAACAAGGCTCTTTGGATACTGCTTATACTGTCTTGATAAGAACTGAAGCCCAAAACAGCCACATAGTACCAAGTTGCCTGCTCTTGCTGAAACTTATGCAAGTGGAAAATATAGATTACAAATTTATCATATAAGTAATGCAGTTCTATGTAATACATATTACATTCTTACATATAGGTAAAAGAAATATCTGCATCTGCTATAAACTTAATTGCAGTAGTATTTCCCAAACACTGGGAACACTGCATAAGAAAAATATTATTTTACTATGGTGAACAATCCTGAAATGAGCAAATTCCTCACCTTTGATCTAGAGAACAGACAGCTAGACTTCTCATATGCATCGATTCTCTTATCATTACAAAAAAGTTGTAATTGTATATTCAGAACACTGGAGAGTGACATCCTTGCTCATCTGTTAAAAACTGAAGTCCCTGTCTTAACAGCTGAGAGATAAATCCAGTTCTAATCTAAAAGCAATCCACTGCTGAGACTTCTGTAACACTATCTTATTCTTTTTCAATAAATTTGGACCTGTTTCTGTCTGGTGTCAGGCCAGGATACAGTACAGAGAGCACTGGTCACGCTTGTTGATGACCTTTGGTGGAGCCACGATGGGGGTTGTGCATCCATCCTAGTGCTCCTTGATCTCTCAGTGGCTTATAATACTGTCAACCACAGTATCCTTCTGGACCAGCTGTGGGGGTTAAGAGTGGGAGGCACTGTGCTCAAGTGGTTCACCTACTTCCTCAGGTCAGTTCCAGTCAGTGTTGACAGGGGGGAGAGATCGTGTCTGCGGCCCCTCACGTCTGGGGTACCTCAGGGCTCAACACTCTCCTCTTCAACATCTACATGAAACCACGGGGTGAGGTCATCTGCCAGCTTAAGGTGTGGTATCAATGCTGATGATACCTAGCTCTGTATCTCAACCCCAAGTGGCACAGCTATCAATGTCTTGACCCAGTGTCTGGAGGCCGTTTAGGTCTGGATGGGGCAGAACAGACTTCAGCTCAATCCTACAAGACTGAGTGGCTGTAACTGTTTGGACCCCTTAGGTCAGGGATGTCACCATCCTTGGTCAAGACTGGTATGGAACTTGGGGTGTCCTTCTGGACTTGTAGCTACTGCTTGAAGAGCAGGTAGCAGCTGTGGCCTTTGCACAAGTACATTTTGTGTGCCAGTTGCACCCTTTCCTCGATCGGGAGACCCTTCAGACAGTTACTCATGCCCTGGTCACCTCATGCTTGGATTATTGCAATGAGCTCTACATGGGGCTGCCCTTGAAGACCACCTGGAAGTTATAACTGGTTCAAAATGCAGCAGCGCAAGCAGTAATGGGTGCACCTCAATGTGCCCATGTGTCACCACTGCTATGCAAGCTGCAATGGCTGTTAGTTGGCTTCGAAGTGCAATTCAACCTGAGACACCAGTTATATAGAGTTGTTTCCTAACGAGATGGGCGGTGACAAATTTGATAAATAAATAAAAATATCTAATTGTTTCTGCCTGCCCAGTGTGTTCCAGAAGAACGGGCGCGGTCCAGGTCCCCTCCATTAAATTTTGCCATCTTGTGGGGTCTAGGAAGTGTGCCTTCTCTGTTGCACCCCCCACCCTCTGGAATAGCATCCCCCTGGAGATAAGGATGGCGCCCTCTTTCCTAGGTTTCCAGAAAGGCTTGAAAACCTGGCTGTGGTCCCAGGCCTGGGGTTGATATTTGTCATTGCTTAATGGCCCCTATTTTGTTTTGTGGGTTTTCTTAGTAGAGTATTTTAGTCTGGACTGCCTGTTGATTTTGTTTTTATGTTTTTTTAGTTTTGTACGGTACCCAGAGTCCACTGGAATTGGGTGGCCAATACATTTAAATCAATCAATCAATCAATCAATCAATCAATCAATCAAATCTTGTTAAAAAACATTCTGCGAGAATCCTGATTTCAGTTGAAATGAGCGTCAAGAGTTGATACAAACTGCACTGTTACTTTCTCTAATATTTTTATTTGAAAAACATAAAGCCATTTCTCCCGAAGCCAGAAAACCAAGCTGGTGAATTAGGAATAACTTACTTGTATTGTTTTTGTGATCTTCACAGCAGGGCATACTGTTTCCACAATAGTGTTCACAGTGGCTGCAGTTGGAGCACTTCTTTTCAAACTAATTTTCTCTCTAGCATCAACAACTTTGGTCACCTTTTCAATACTCTGCTGTTTCCGGGAATTTAGCATCTCCCGGGCATCTTGAACTTTCCCTTTGATTTTGAACCTGGCATCTTTCTGAAGCAGTTTCTCCCTAGCATCTTTCACACCAATTTTGTGTCTGGCATCAGTAACACCAATCTTTTGACGTGCATCAAATGTCTGCTGAAAACCAACACTAGGTGCTGGTCTGCTTAGAAAGGTTTGCTGGATTCCAATTCGAGATCTGATGCCTCCAAAGACTGGCCTCATGTTCAGTCTGAAAGAGAAATGTCAGACATTAGTTATAGCTATTCAATATTTTTTAAAAAAATAACTGAGTAGTTCCAATTCATCACAGAAGGCTGAATGTATGCTGAAGGAATGGACAACAGAAATCAACAAATGGAAAAGATGAACTGGCCAGTAATATAAAAATAAGAAAGATGTGCCTCAAGAAAAGTTTCACTGAAGATGCAGAGTATGAAATAGAACTGACTGATGATGGATGGCAATCTGGGAAAAAAAAAAAAAATTAGCCAGAAGAAGGGGGAAGACAATAGGAAAAATGTTGAGAGAATTAGGGACAAAAAAGAATCTGAAAGTATGAACTAGCCAAATCTCCCCCAACCTGAGAGTCTCTTCATTGTTGAATCTGCAGTTGAGTATGAAATAGAACTGACTGATGATGGATGGCAATCTGGGAAAAAAAAAAAAATTAGCCAGAAGAAGTGGGAAGACAATAGGAAAAATGTTGAGAGAATTAGGGACAAAAAAGAATCTGAAAGTATGAACTAGCCAAATCTCCCCAAACCTGAGAGTCTCTTCATTGTTGAATCTGCAGTTCCTATCTTTCTGATTTGCATGGCTCTCTGGAGAACATTATATGGCCTGATTTAGAGTTCTCAATGATGCCAAGAAAGTAATAGGATGGTGTGTTTTTGCTCACAATCCCAAGAAGTCTCTGAAATTGGTAATTGTTTAGGGTGTAAATGATACAGCCTATGTACACTATGGCTTTTCCAGAGATGCACTTCTTGGATAACATGTCAGCAAAATGTTTTTAGACGCCTCTACTGGAGCCTCCATGGAATACACTTTTTGCATTATACAGAACCAAGAGCCTCATTCCAAAAAGAAAAACAAAACAAAACCAGAGCAAGCTGCAGTAGGTAAAGATGGGGCTAACGGAAACCACCGCCTGAGACAGGGAGTCAACTGCTGGATACACTGGGGCTGGCGGCGGGGACCCCGAAAAGCTTCCTACTCAGCCCTCACATACCGCATGCTGTTTTTCTACCTGCGACCCGCGTGCCCCTCTCGCCCGGAGCCCCGCTCTCGCAGCCTTCCTGCGACCCGACGCCCCCTCACTACTCAGATTGGGTCAACAGAACCGAACTCTCTAGCAGGTTACGACTGACAAAACGACAAACCAATCAGAAGACAGGATGTCGCTCTGGGCGGGCCCTCCCTCCCGGACACAGCACGGATCTATTCTGCGTGCTACGATGGGGCGGAGGGAGCGGACCGTCGCCAACAACTGGGTTCCAGTCCCGTAGTTTCTCTGCAAGGCTGATAATCCTTTCAGCTCACCTCCCTTTTGTATTCACATTGACGCCACGCTTCCTGATCAGTTCATCCAAAGATAAGTCCGCCATATTTTCTCTAGGCCCGGAGAAAAGTCGTAGCGACCGAAGACCGGACATGAGATCCAACTACTTCCGGTCTCACACTGCTCCCTTTTCTCTCAGCTCTCGTCCCTGCGCACGCAACATTACGGCTTCTCGCGACTTTTGACAACATCACGCGTAATAAGGGGTTGGAGATTTTGTGGAGGTTAGCTTCCCATAATCCAAAGCGACAATTATTTTAATTTGCATATATAAAATGAGAAGTTGAATAAATAATTTTCCAGATTATAAGATTTGTTTCTTGATTACTGGGTAATCAGATACGTAACAGAGATTTCAATTGCTAACATCCTATTTCTTTGTCCTTACACCGTTCACCCTCACGTAGAACGGCTCTGTTGTCAACTACCTTTCCTTTTTAAAGATAGAAACAGTATGCCTTAAACTTATGAGTAAGGAAAATAACGATCCGGGGTGACGCCCGGGTCCTCACTAACAATGTGAGAAGAATTTTTGAGCGGGTACAGGTCGTCCCCGAGGTGGCCCGCCTACTTAGCGGGATGCCTGGGTGATCTGATCTGCCCGATACTGCTTTACCAAACTGTAAAAATAGCGTTTGTTGCCTTGTGGTTACCACCAGTGGCAAGGCTGATTACCACGGTGCATGGTTGCTGCAATACCAGTGTGCATGCCATTGAACTATTACGAGTTTGTCACTTTTAACGTTATGTACGTAATTATCTTGTATTTTTTAAAGTCTCTGGATTAGGTTACATGGAATATTAATCATAAATTGCATTTATATTAAAAGATTTAAAAAGTAAAAGTTCCAGTTTCTACTGACTTCAAGGGCAATCCAAATAGCCTTCTTAACAATGGCTTCTCACTGCGTTCTTTCAGGATCTATTTTAACTCTCTAGTTTTAGAGCCATACGAAGACAGGCCAACCAGTTCTCCGCTTTCCCCTGCCTCACTCCAACTTAAATCCTACATTTTTTGCACCTGATAAAGTGAGCTCAAGAAGTGCCTTATGCCTTTTAATAACGTTAGTTAGAAAAGTGCTACCCAGCTCCTCCTGAGTTTTTGCCATTAGACAAACATGGCTCACCTCCTATAATGGGATTTCCTGGTGTTCCATCAAGTACTAACCTACTTAGGTTCTGGACAGCAGCCCAGGTCTGCTGGTATTGGGTGTGGTAGGAATTGGAGCATGAAAAACATTTACCATTCTCCAATTACTGTATACTGTCAGTAATAAATATCTGACCCTGGTTGAAGAGTTATCTATCCACCCATCCATCCCTTTTTTTAGAGTTTAACTACTTTCTCTCCAGTATGCACTGTCTATATATGTACACTTAACAGGGTAACCTTGTTCAATAGGCAAGACTTCGAATTTTTCAATTTAATGTGTGTGTATACCACTAGGCCATATTTTAGCAAAATTAAATTAACATAAATTCTCAACTGTAGCCTGCCCATTTTGCTTAAGAATGGTCTATGGTGGTGAACAGTAAATAAATCTTAATTAATTTGAGGGGAAAAAAAAAAAAGGTAAAGGCAGGTAAAAGATGTATCAAGTGCTGTTCATGGGAAACTACTACTTGGTTTCCTCTACATACAAGCAAACAAGCAAGAACAGCATTCATATTTTGCATTTTCTTGACCAGAATAGTGCCCAAAACAGCATGGAGAAAGCTTTTAAGTAACCAAGCCTCAAGTGTTAGAATTGTGTCACTGTTGCTACTATAACTCCCCTCCCCCAAAGGCTTTTCTTTGCCCATAAGAAGTGCACTATCTAGCACAAGAACCAATTAGTTTTTTTCCACCCTTTAGGATAGTCTTACTACATATGCTACAACTCATGCTTCACCTGTTTATGAAAATTAAAGCAAACCAACAGAAATAGTTTAATTAAATGAAGCACAGGTACTGACAGAAATAGAAAGGGGAAAAGTGAGAGATTTGGAAAATGAAAGGACATTGATCAGAAAATTAACATGCTCTACAAATTTAACTTGAAAAGCAGTGACAAGTGTCTGAGGAGAAATCTCATTCTGTCATCTCTGAAAGGAGCCTGTGAGATGAGACTAAAGAGAGTACAGGCACTTCCCAGGTTAAGAATGTCTGAGTTATGGACAACTCATACTTACGAACAAGCTGCCTGTTACAAAAAATGGTGGTTGGCATTCTCCTACCTGGAGCTGATGAACTGCTGAAGCTGTTTTTATGAACTGCTGAAGCCGTGCATTTTTAATATACAGCCTGTTTTCAATGATTCATGAAAACATTGTGTGGCTTCAGCAGTTCGTTGGCTCCAGGAAGGAGAACGCCAACCACCACTTTTTGTAACAGGCAACCTGTTCATAAGTTCAAATTCTGACTTACATACAAATTAGAGTTAAAGACAGGTTTAGTTACAGAACTTGTTCTTAACCCAGGGACTGCCTGTATCAGCATTACTATTATTTAGAAGCCATTCTAAAACATTGTCACAGATTTTGATGTGTGTGTGTGTATGTGTGAGAGAGAGAGAGATTTTACATTTCCCTTTTACATTTTCCTCTCTCACTAGGCAGCATGAAGGGTATCCTGAAGGCAAAGTATTAAGAAAATGGATAGATTTTTCTCACCTTTTTAATACTAGAGCCCATGATAATTCAATGAAACTATATTGTAGAACATTTAGGAAAAGGTATTGCTTCAGACAGTATGAATTTGCTTCTACTACTTGTAAAGGTCACCAAAAAGAGACAGCTTTCGAAGATTATAAGAATGTGTAGTATAAGGCTATCAAAAGCTATTCTGGAATGATGTCAGTATATTTCTTCCAGAAGATCACTTCAAACTAGAAATATGATACTATGAATGCAATATGCAAGTAATATGTATTCCTGATATACAGAAAAAATGTCTAATTCATTAATGTGCATCTTGTATATGGTCACATTTAGCTTACATCTTGAACATAGCCTATCCAAACAAAACACACATATTATTTGCTACCTACTAAATTCAGAAAACAAAAATTTAAACAAGAAAAGGAACACACAGGATTATTAATTGAACCAACTAGCAGTCCCAGTTCATGGAATGTGTTTTAGAGTTGTTAAATATTCTGATCTATGGCCATTACACCAAATCCTTAGAGTTGTTGAATAGATTAATCTAAAAAACCAAAAACAAAACCAAAAACCAAAAACAGTCACTGTCATGAGTTAAGAAGCAAGTTGAACTACCATCACCAAGGTCAAAAATTAAGTATTTTTAGAAGGATGTGATGAAAATGCTGTCTCTATCATTTGCTATTAATTCTACAAAACTATACCTTCACCCAATTATATTATTGTTATTGAAAAGAAATATTCTACAAACTCATTTTCTATAGCAACAGTATATTGGATGTATTTCTTGGTGGTAAAAAGTTTTTTTTTTAGAGACAACTTATTATTTACTGGGATATATATATTTAAAACAATAATGGATTGTGTAGATCTTGATATTGTTGTGCAAAGCACTATATTCTGAACAAGGGTGTGTATCTATTACTGAAAAGATTTTTATATCTACACTGTAAAAATTCCAAGTATGTATTTTTTCACTATGTAAATTTAAAATGCCATGATAGCCCTGATTAACATATTAGTTAACTATTAGATTGATCAACTAAACATCATTTTACTATAATGAATTCTGTACTTATCATTCCAAAGAATTTTAAAAACAAAACTTGTTGGGATTAGTTAATGCATCTAAGGACAGTAAGGAAAGAACAAAGTTAGTTTGCAGAAGTTTCACTGATAAAAGAGTTTCACAACTTTGAGGAAAAGAAAATTCTTCATAATTACAAAAGCTATTAACCCCCCCCCACACACACACACACACACGAGAATCTGATTGAAGCAGTTTCAGCTCTAGATCAGATATTAAGTAATTGTGATAAACTAATGGAAGGTAATGTATTAATACATACTTGGGGTGCTGAAGCATATTTATCCAATAGTATCTTTAACAATAAATTTCTCTGCTCTGCCTAAAATATCTGTTGAGCATGTCTGTTGAGAATGTCAGTGCACAATTTCAGTTGTTACAACTTACCTCCTCAAAAAAAGCTGGTATTTCATATGTATAGAAATTAGTTACATAAAGTATTTTAGTTTCATAAACATTTTCAATACATACATGAACACATATGAAATATTAACTTCCAAATAAATAAGAGATAAATTTCCAGATTTAATTAATAAAAAACATCAATGTTAGAAGCATGCACTTTAGTTGTTAAGAGGGAGTGGGAACACACAGCTATTTCACTGGACAAAACTGTTATTTTTTTGCTTATTTTATTATTGTTTGTTGTTTACAATTAAGGATGTGCAGTTAACACACCACAAGAAAAAACAGAAAAATCATTATGAAAGAAAAAACGAATATACCGAACACAGACCAATCAATGGTACAAAGATATGGGACTGGCTTTGATTTCAAAGTTTCAAAAGAAATTTTAAAAGAGTGAAATGCAACAGCTGTTTGTCTTCCAAGTCTAAAGAGGCGCTGTAAAGATAAAATAAAATTTAAAAGTTGCCATTTTCTTTAGCACATGTCCCCAACCTAAATATTGCCAAACATGTTTAGTTCTCAGGAAGGAACTGAGAACACAATCTTATTATGGTGTTAATAAAAGCCTGGAACCCACTCAACCTCTTTAAAAATGACTCAGTGCTGCTGTTTGACAGGAATAAAATTAGAAGAGCTTATAAAGGTCTGAAAGCATCCAAAGCAAAAAGCACAATATAGTTTTGTTCACTATAACCTGTATTGAAAAGGAGAATAAAACATTGAGATCTATTATGTTGGTACATAAAACTGGTGTCTCGAAGATAGATCTTTGAAAATATGTCTTATAAGTTTACTGGAGAAGAAAAAAGGAAACTGCTTTACTTATTATCAATTGAGTTATCATCAATGGAAAGGGATCAATTCAGACTTCATTATAACCATTTTTATACACTGTACATCTATCCTAGTTGGATAAGCATGTGGAATTGCTCACTGGTGTCCCTTTTAATAACTGTAAACTAAACCACAGTATGCAACTTCATAGGAAGCTAAAGGATCAAGTGAATGTACAGCCAGTTATATTTCTCCTGCTTCACGCTCCTCTGAGCTCCTCCTGTCTTCTGATCGACCATTTGCACTTTCATAAGAACGCTTCCTTTCTTTGCAGTTTCGATCTCTTGGTGATTTTTCTCTGGGGCAACTTTCTTTGTCACGTGATGTTCTGTTACGATCTCTGGTTCGTTCTTGATCTCTGGAAGATCTTTCTTTTGACGATCTGAAAAAAAATTAATGCATCTGAAAATATATATTACTTTTACTTGGTTTTAACTTTTTTTCAGCCTACCAGAGCATAAAACAGTATAATTATCACTCTGTATCATTTCCAAAATTAGAAGGGAAAGAGCATGGTATTAGTACAGAGCCTAACATAATTAGATTTATCAAACTGAATCCACTACTCTTATTTTTCAAGAGTGTAAAAGTTGAAAAAGTCAAATGGTTGCTGTCTAGTGTATTTTTCTTGTAGTAATCAAAATCAGTGTGGACACTATTGTGGAAAGTGTTACCAATGTACAGAGAGCTTCAGCTACTATGATGTAGATCTGCAGTGCCACAGACTCTTAACTTACATTATAGTTAACATGTTTATAAAAGTTAAAGCTGAACTTGGAGATCGGACCTGAACTTTTGACTAACTGAATAAACAGGCAAAAGGTTAAAAGAAAATATGGGTTTTAAAATGTGATTTGAAGGAAGACTGAATGCTGAAAAAATGCCTAAGACTTGAGTTCACCAGAGACTGGCTTGTAAACAGAAATCAAGAACTACAATCACAATTACATAGCCAAATTTAATTGTATCAATTCTGGTAACACTGAAACATATTTCTACAGTCCTGAAGACCTTAGTTTGTTAAATTTGTTCTCCAGGTATTTACTTTATTACCTAATTGAATTAGGTAAATGAAGGCCAAACACATTCTGAATATAAACACAGGGCATTTAAATGAGTTGAAATTATCCAGGACTAAATAAAAAGATCCAAAGTAGAATTCAATACTAAAAATAATTGCTAAACTAAACATAAAAAAGTTATTAACCAAAATCATGCTTGGGAATTGAAGATTTAGACTATACCCTTGTACTCAGTTTTGGGAATGCCAATGAATTTATTGGTGTTCCCTTCCAAAGAGATAAACATAGAATTCTATATAAAATTCTTAAATTCTACAAAAAAACTTGCCACAAAATCTCTCTAGAATTCCATGTCAGTCTGTTCCATTTCCCATGTTCTTCCAAATGACCTAGTTTTCTGTTGACAAGTAAGCATATTAACTTCTCACTGGGTTATGAGAATGGGGGTGGGGAGAGAGAGTTTTGTTTCCTTAGGTTTCTTCCCACTTCTGCAAATCTTGTGATTCTTCTGCTGATACTTATTGGTTATAGCTACCTTAAATCAGCACCTGAGTTAACTATAATTAAAAGCTTTTGAAGCACACAGTTCCAATGCCTCTATAATAAACAAAAAGAAAAAAAATCAGCTACTGTTGAAGATAGGGTGATCGCCTAGGTGTAATCTTTTCTGTTCAGAAGTTAACAAAATGCCAACTACTCTAACTGCTCATTAAATTTTTACCTTTTTTTGGAACTGCGTTCTCTGCTTCTGTCTCTGGAGCTATGCCTGCTCCTCTGGTGACTGCGGCTCCGGCTGCGACTAGTAGAGCGAGATCTATGACGATGTCGCTTTTCACGGGACCTGGAACGGGTTCTTTTCTTTCGTTCACGTGAGGATGACCGAGATCGATGTCTACGGCGATCACGGGATCTAGATCTGAAAAAAGATTCATAGTGGGTGAGAAGAAATCCTCAACAATTCTATTAATCCCTACAAGGAAGATCTCTTACTGGATCAATCTCTTTTGTCAAGAGTTTGAAAACTTTAGAGACTGCTGGAATGCTTTACATGAGATAAGCAGCCATCTAATATTGAAGTTTAGGAGTCACAATAATGATTAAGAACAAATATATGCAATCACTCCTGTTACAAGCCACTGGCAAGAGTGCAACAGATACACCCTAGTACTAAGCAAAGACACATCACTGAGGAATTTCTAACTTAAAATAAGTCACAAATAAGTTGAAATAGAACATCTTAGATCTAGGTGTAAACGAACACTTCCACTGGTTTAAAAACAGCAATCAATTCAACTAAACAGCAGATGACAGGAGCTAGATAATTTTGGCTGATCTTGTACAAGCTAAGAGTCAGATCTAACTAGTACTTGGAAGAAAGACCATCAGGAAATCCCAGGACTGTTGGCAAAACCTGGACATTCAAAAAAAAAATCCCAAAAGGTAGCAGTGGCAAACCAGTTCTGTTCTATTATCAAGAAAAATACTTGGAGCATGCATGTAGTTACCAGGAGTAAAATGTGAGTCTTAAGAAATCTGTATCGTATCTTCTGTTTTAAACTTCAAGTGACATTTGGAAGAAATGTGGCCTACCACCTTATCAAAACCTTTAAAACTCAAGATTAAGTATTAACTGTTATTATACCTACAATGTCAATTAAAATATTTACTTTTGATTTGATTAGCATTGCTAACCAAAAACGTCGTAATAAAAATTTCGAGCAACAAATAGATATACAAAATGCATATGAGGGACAGTAGCAGTACTACCAGGATAATGGGTGCCTAGAAGGCAGTTGGCATTTGTAGCACCCCAGCCTTTTTATTTCACTACTTCTAGGGAACAAGAGACCTACTGAAGGACAGGAGCTTTAAAAAAGGTAACCCTGTCTGACCTCATTAAAACAAACAAATTCTATTTTAAGTATGGCTGTTTTCATGACAATAAACACAGTGATGCTCCTTCTCAGAAAACAGATGGCCTCAGAAATAGATTTCAGGGACAGATTTCAACCTGTTTTGGAAGACTAATACTCTGGGGGTAGTCTTGGATTGAGGTTTGCACTTGGAAGTTCAGGCAGCAGTTTTGACAGGATCTTTCAGCCATCAACTTGATGTGTCAGTTTTATCCATTCCTGGTGGCATCAGACCTGGCTCCAATAAAAGTTGCCTCAGTTACATCAAATCAGAAGTGCTCAACTTGATGCTGCCTTTGAAGAGTCTTCAAAAACTACAGTTGGTTTAAAATGCAGCAGTAAGTGCTCTCTTGCTGGACTATAATTCACCAGTACCGTACGGGCTGCACTGGTTACTAGTTTGCTTCTAGGTCCAATTCATAATGCGGTGTATAACCTTTAATGCCTTAGGTCCCAGACACCTTAGGAACCCCTCTTTCCAAACCTGCTTATGGGCTCCCTGAAATCTGATGAGGTGTCAATCTCTATGTTCCAGCTGTGGCAGAAGACAAAATAAAAGACCTTCTTAGTGGCTGGACCCATAATATAGAAATCCTAGCTCAAGAAGATAAGCTGGCACTCCCTCTAGTGGGTTTTTCATTTTTAGGAAGGCATTCATATCCATAGGCAATGTAAGTTTTAGAAGATCTGCATCTGCCTATTTTGTAAGTTTTATTAGATTTTTAAAAAACGTTTATAGGCTTTATTTTTAAAAAAACACTTAAAACTGCATACTATTTTAAATACTGTAAGACACCATGAATGATGTATGTAAGTTAGAAATATAGGGTAGAGATTTAATATAATGGCCAGAGGGGTGGGGAATCTACATCTATCAAACAGTGCATGAATATCAGTCTCATAATCTATGAGCAACTAAAACATGTGAATTGACTCTAACAATATATGGAGGGCCAGCATTTTCATTTCAGTTTTCAAAATTTCCTCTGACTTACAGAATTGTCTAAAGTATTTACTATAGTTAACAATGTAAATATCATAGTACAAAGAATCAGAAGGGGTTTTCTCTAAGGAAAACCTTTCTTAATATTCAATTGTTCATATTCAAAGGGAAAAAAACACATCTCACCTTTTGGGGTTCTTGCTATGGGAACGAGATCTGAAAATAAAGAGAAAATAAAGATGAATTTATAAATTGTAAATGGAATTATCTTCTCCGCTATCAACATGTCTCACAGAACATAACCACAGACATTTATAAAAATTGTGGTTTTACTTGTTCAAATGGCTCAAAATAATTATTCCAGGGAAGCTTGTATGTAACAATGTATCAAATGGTTTATCTCACATTAATACTGATATAAATAGATGGTTAAAAATCCTAATGAACTTATTGGGAAAGATAAATATAAAAATGAACATTATTTCAAGATTGTTATATGTATTTAACATATTCATATCAACATATTTCAGTGTTAAGACTTTTAAAGTATTTCAGACAAATAATAAATTAAGAAATCCCCTACAGGAAGAACCACCCCCTAGATTTTATCTAGTTTACAATTAACATACGATGGTGAGGTTTAACCTGATTTTCAAATTTATTGATGGGTATTTAGCATATTTTAAATGGAAGTGACCAAGTTGAAAAAGCCATTATGCGGACAATTAGAAAGTTATTATTTGTCCCTTTTGATATCGTGGCAGGGGCTTGTTTCCATTTTTAGCTATAATTTTACTGTATTTCTTGTAAGGCATATTTGGAAATTGATAGGACATATGCATAATTTTCACTCTTATTCACATGATAAATGTATGTATAGGAGTAATTCCAGTTTGAAAACTACAGGTAACTTTTTTAAGAGAGGGGATCATTAACTAATATTAACAATAATTATTTACATCATTTAAGTTATTGCAAGAGAAATTTGGATTGTTCAAAACTGCAAAATAGAAGTACAGTGGTACCTTGGGATACGAACTTAATCCGTTCCGTGACTCTGGGCGTATCCCGAGTTGGTCGTAACCCGAAGGAAATTTCCCCATAGGGTTCAATGTAAATCCGGTTAATCCGTTCCGCCCTCTGAATTTGGTCGCACCCCGAGGCAAATTTCCCCATAAGGTTCAATGTAAATACGGTTAATCCGTTCCGCCCTCTGAATTTGGTC